GCCATTTATTTACTGAGGATAATCCATAACATTTGAAAGAAATCTTATTTATGAAAGTATTACACATACGTTGTAACAATAATTTTTCATAAAAATGGGAGCTTATAATTTTGGTATACACAAATGATGGGCCTTAAATGATATATTAGATATTAGATAAGAAATGATGGGCCTTAAACGATATATTAGATATTAGATAATCTAAACATAATTATAATATCAAAATGGTAAATATTTTAAACAAAAATTTTGATAACAATTTAAAACATTATTTTCCTGTATAGCGTTATTCTAATAAACATGTTTTCACATGTGTCTCTTTTTATTGTTTTTGTGTGTTTCTCTCTTAATCTTAGATTTCAGACTGAACTGAATTATGATGTTCTAGAAGTTCATGATGGGCCAAATCTTTTGTCACCCTTGCTTGGATCTTACAATGGTACCCAAGTGCCCCAGTTTTTATTTAGTAGCGGTAACTTTATATACCTTCTATTTACAACAGACAACAGTCGTTCCAATAATGGTTTCAGGATTCATTATGAAAGTAAGTAATGACAAAATATTTTTTGATTTCCCTATTCTGTGTACCCTACATTTGCTATTATCGTTGTATTACTAAGAAAACTAGCAGAGTTATTTATTTATTTTAAATCAAAGCTTTCCTTGATCTGTAAAAATGCTAATGGTTTATGAAGTGGGTGTTTCAGTAAATTCTGCAATAGATTTTCCCAGCAATATTTAAGTCATTATGAAAGGAAATACTAAGGAAAGTCAGAAGTCTCAAATAATTCTATAAAAATGAGTTTATGTACAAATTATTTGTGTATAGTTCTAAGAAGCAAACAATAGGCAGTAAATGTCAGTCTGAAATATATATGAACAATCACATAATCTTTCAGCATGTACTTCACAAATTCAATTTTTTAAATATTTTACTCAAAATTCCATGTTTTTCATTTGAAATATTATATTATTTTTATAAAAGATTGAAAATTGTATTAATATTGAAAAGTAAAATATATACACATATATGTTCAAATTTGATTAACATAGCTGGTCTCAAGTGTTGTATAGGTTTATAATAATCCCACTTAAAAGTTTATAGTTTTGTTTAAAAAGTAAAAAAAAAAAAATTCCTGTTGTAAAACAAACTTCATGCTGACATTTACATAAAGCAAGTCTGTTTTTATTTATAAACGTATTGCATATTTATATGTGTGGGGTTGTATTGAGTATGATGTATTCATGTGTACATGCATATACAAACTCACATATGCACACATTTTCATCATGAAATGCACTGTC